TGGGGCAGGCGCCCCCCCCCCCCCCCCCCCCTCTCACACACGCACACACGCACACACACACACACACACACACAATGATACATTTACTGCAGGAAAGGGTCAAAGCGCAAAATCCGTCTAGCTATCACTGTTGCATTCCATGTAGCCTACTCCCTAGTTTTCCAGTAAACGCTTTCTTTTTATTTTATTTTTCCTTCTTTACCTAATGTTTAATTTCATAGACAAAACTATAAACATATACTTCAGACTGCTACAACAGGTGCCTAAATAAAAGGTTGCTAAAATATGTGGGCTATAATTTGTAGAGTAGCCTAGCCTAACCTAGGCTACGATCAACTATCGAGCTCCAAAATGAAATCAAGTCTTTAATCGATGATTGCTGATAATTTGCAGTAGAACCGCAGTATCAGCAAAACACGGAATAGGAAACTTTTGTGAAAAGATATAGGCCTACATATATATATATATATATATAAATATATATATGTATGAATGTAGGCTACGTATACTATTTCATTCATTTTGTCAAGGACAAATTATGTTTTATTAAACATTTGTACTCTTTTTCATACGTGTTATTAAAAAAATATAAGGTAATGCCTTCTGTCACTATTACATGAAATGCGTTTTTCATCAATTGTTCATAAGGAATAAAAAAAATAATCACACCCTCTAAAATTTTAACGGAACAGCTTTAAGCCTACTAAATCATCAGATTTGTTATCATTATGCAGGCTAGGCTACAGGAAGAGGAAAATTATTCAAATCTCATATCACTGCTACAAATCATACATTTAAATCACTTAGCCTATATAAACCCTTTTAATCACTTACCGCTGACTTCCCGAGGCTCTGCGCTTCCTGTGGGCTCAGTATCCACTTTACGTCCACATCTCCCGAAACCTTGAACCAGCTGCTCCAGGGGCAGCTCCGAATCCGGCTTGGGATAACACCGCAGACCACTGGAGCATCTCGGTGTGTAAACGCCGCACAGCTCGCCCTCTTGCCGGGCACACACTGGACAGCAGCCGCAGCCCGGCTCGCGAACAATCTCAGCACACGTCTCCGTGAGAGTCGGGCAACCCGCCTGGAGCTCCGCAGTGCAGCTCGGACAACTGAACACCATTTCCGAGCGAGCGGCGCCGTGAAAAGTCACCAGTGCCAGGAGCAAGCTGCAACTCCCGTAGAACAGCATCGTGTCCACGATGTAGAAACTCTGCTAATCGGAAGACTAACTTATGCAGGTAAGAAGGAAAGACAAGAAGTGTACGCGGACAGGTGACGGCTAACTGGGGCTGCTGCGGGCTTCTCATTGTTCATATGCCGCTGACATCACAGGAGATGACAGGCGGGCTGCAGCTTTGTCAAACAAGTACAGTGCCAGCGCCTTGGCTTTGTATTTTTAGTCCTGTGTCCTGCCTCAATTTCAGAACAGATATTTTAGAATACATTTTAATGTGTTATGTTAAGAATGTCATTAAATAAAAGTGCTTATGCAAGAAAGCCATGCTTAGCTAAACCAGCAGGGTCTTGGTAAATGAAATGGCTTAATTAAATAAAATTCTTGAAATACAAGTGGAATTTAAGTTATTAAAGTTATTTATTTATTTTCAACAGGGGGAGCCTGTCCTCCGCCGACAAGGCACACATTACAAAAATGCACATCTAGTTAATATGTGCAGTAGGCTACTGGTACATTTATTGAATACATTATGTATGATGCAAATTATTAAATAATAATAAAAAAGAATAATTTATAATCTTTGAGTCCATTCTAAAATGACTGGTGTGGAGAGAAACCGTGATCAGTGACATGTCCCCCACTGTCTGTTCTGTCTGGGCTGTAGTTGGAAGTATGGCTCAGCAACACTGATAGTATAGTGAATAAACAAAAACGCAAACTATTCATGGCTACGGTCTCTGCACATATTAATATTAAACATCAGTGCCGTGCCTTCATGTACTTATAGGACTAGCCTACAAGCTGAATGTTGTTGCAACAGCCTATTGATTACAGGGGCCAGGAGCCAAGGTATCATGCTTACCAACCAAATAACCATTAACCCATCCAAAGCAACAATCTGTTCCCGTTTGAGACTAATCGTTGTTTATTTAAGGAGACAGAAATTGCTGCTCCGTGTGAGACCTATAGCTACTGCAGTTGTCGGAGAGGTATAAATGAGGATTTTTTTCTTTCTTTGTGGGTGCCCTCTGATTTCATGGCATTTTATGCATTAGTGGTTGGCAGGCTTCCTTTTCGCCTTGGAGATTTTGACGGAGAAAGGGGACTTTTGAAATTTTTTTTTTTAAAGAAACCAGCTGGAGACCCACAGATTCATAACCCATGTCTGTGTACCCAGAGTTTGTACAGCGTCTGGGTTTCTGTAGGATTTTGAGGGCTATAAGCCACAGTATCTCCAGTTGGTTAAGTGCAGTTCTTCTTTAAGGACATTTCTGAGTAAACAAGTGCCCCGAGGAAACTCTATACAGCATACTCCACTGTGGAAATTAGTTAGAGAAACTTTTCACATTACATACAAGGCATGCAGAATCCGTGATTTTATATTAGAGATTTAAGAAAAATGTATATATAGGCCTAGCCTATATTAAAGGTCAGATATAATAAATAGAATGGATAATGTTTGGCCTGGTTTAAACTGGTTTCCCATAGAGAGCGATTTGTGTGGCTAACAGTGATTTTTGTTTGTATCTAATAAACTGTTGTCAGAATCAAAATGAAGATAATGTTCAAATATATGTAGATTTGAGTATGTGTGACTGTATATTAAAATGTATATGTTAAAATATGTTGGATTCTGTACGTGCACACTAAAGTGTGTAGGCTACTTTGGAATATTATTTCCTGAGGTTTAGTGTTTGAATTCCAAGAAAAGCAGAGTGGATGTTTAGTCAATGTGGACGGAAGACAAGAGAGAACAAACATATTAATAAACAGCTGTTACACAATCAGGTTGGTAAGGCAAGTAGGTTTTGCACTTTAAGCTATTGTAAACATGGACATCAAGATAGTTGTCAAGGAGATAAACGAGATTTAAGAAAAATGTATATATAGGCCTAGCCTATATTAAAGGTCAGATATAATAAATAGAATGGATAATGTTTGGCCTGGTTTAAACTGGTTTCCCATAGAGAGCGATTTGTGTGGCTAACAGTGATTTTTGTTTGTATCTAATAAACTGTTGTCAGAATCAAAATGAAGATAATGTTCAAATATATGTAGATTTGAGTATGTGTGACTGTATATTAAAATGTATATGTTAAAATATGTTGGATTCTGTACGTGCACACTAAAGTGTGTAGGCTACTTTGGAATATTATTTCCTGAGGTTTAGTGTTTGAATTCCAAGAAAAGCAGAGTGGATGTTTAGTCAATGTGGACGGAAGTTACACAATCAGGTTGGTAAGGCAAGTAGGTTTTGCACTTTAAGCTATTGTAAACATGGACATCAAGATAGTTGTCAAGGAGATAAAAGTTTTGACTGTGATATCCACCAGTGAGGGCAAACTAACACAGAAAAAGGATTTTTCATTAATAAACAAATAATCAGAGTTTAAGTCTTGAGGGATAGTTTATTTAACATTGTCCTGGCCATTAAATGGCTCACCTTCAAAATACATGTTCTTTCTGTTTGTTTTATAGTGCATGTGAAAGACGCAGGAGGGCGCGCTTTGTTAAATATTCACTTGTTTGGCTTCATCGGGCCGCCGTACCTTTAAGAAACAAGATCATATGACTGCTATCAGGATGTCAACAAATGTGAAAGGGAATTTAACTGAATTAATGCCATGAATCCCAATGCCGGTTCAAAACCGGGTATAACGTTATTTGAGGCTAACGGTCACGTATTTCTTGGAGCATAAGGTATGTTTTAGCGCATTTCATGAGAACAGATAATATTGCTGGAGCGTCAATAAGAGTTGCCAGTTTTGTTTTGTTTTCTGTTAACAAGATTGAAATGAAGTGCCAGTGTAGGTAATTTGTGATTGAAAATTGAAATATGTGGAGGGTGTCTAGATACCTGAATGTTTGTGATTATACATTTTATAATAGTGAAAATAATAAATATTGCTTTCTCACAGTTAGCTGTTAACATAACAGAAATGGGAAGAGATGACCCTCGGCTTGCATGTATTTACAGTTGAGGAACAGTGTGAGGAATGTTTGGTTGTGGTATCCCACCCTCCCTTTCTCCTACATCTATTTTTGCGAGACTATTTTATTACCCAAATTAATGTTCTGTCTTCATAGCAATTATAAATATGTTATTTATGTATATTTAGATTAGAATAATTCCCCTTTTGCCTGCAATAATTTGGAATATTTCTGTTAATATAATATGTTTCACCCTTTTTAGGATGTCATCCACTCGGGCCTGTCAGTCAACGGTTGTACACAGACTTGCCACATTACTGCGAAATAATGGTATAGTAGTATTTAGTATGTAAATTGTATTATTGTTTATTTCAGCAGTTTCACTAGGCCCAGTTCCTGGGGGGTGAAAAAAATCCACACTGCAAAAAATGTAACAAAGCCACTCGTCTAGAGTTTGGCAAGATTTTGAGTGCAACTCCTCTCTATGTTGAGAATTGAATGCTATTCTCATTATGTTGAAGACATGGGGATAAAGCAATACACTCCATATTTATAACTGCAAATGTGGACACTGCTATGCAAGATAATGCACAAAGATTGTGTGTGCACGTTGACAGAGATAAAGTCAATAAAATCTGAGAGTACTTTTGCATATGTTTGAGGATGCTTAGCATGCTCTAGCATTGCCTTATGTTCTCATTGCTCTCTATATAGGTGACTCCGTACTGGATGGTTCCAGTACTCTCACTCTGCAAGTGGGATGTTTACAGCACCTGACACAACTCTTCGAGCAGCACCTTCTCTCACGAACATATCAGCATGGTTTTCTGGCCCTGCCGTCCCACCCAGCGGACACTGCCTCCCTGCTGGAAGTCCAGTTCCTCTTTGACATGCTGCAGAAGACAGTATCCCTCAAGGTACTGAAGGTTCTGACGATGCTTTGATGTGTCTATGGCATTGCACACTTATTAGGAGTACAGCTTGATTGTGATAGTCTGAGAAAAAATGTATTCCAAATTAATTAGTTGTACTACATTTTTGTATATCATCTTCGATTAAGATGATTTTCTGACTTCAGCTAAGTGTCCTGATTAATATATCCTTATACAGTATATGTCTTTTTTTATTTGTGTTGAAATGCATCATAATTTGCCAATCCAATACACTGAGCTGTTGTTGCAATGATCTGATCATATATGTCTTTAAAACAGCTTGTTAATCCGCCTGGTGTGAAAGTACAGTATGTTGTGAAAATCTTCCCTTTCAAGTCCCTCAAACAGTTGGAGGTATTTCAGAACAAACTAACCAAATTCATTCAATTATGTTTGTTGCTTTATTCTGCCATGTTATCCTAAATGTTGCTTTTTGTTTGATTTATCTTTCTATTTAGCTCAAGCGTATTCCTCCTCATTATCTGGAGGGTCTTAGAGGAGTGTATTCTCAGCTGGAAGTCTTCACTTGCTCAAAAGGTGTCAGCTCTCTAGAGGTAATTTTTGCTCCAACAAGCATTGGCACAGTGACTATAAACTGAACCAGGTTTGCATGCAGAAAGAAAGTAATTGTTATGTGTGTGTTTATTAGGAGCTTCTCTCTCTGTGTGGAGGAGATCTCAGCTCAGCTTTACCCTGGTTAGAACTTCATACCCTTAATTTCAGTTACAATTCCATTTCCCGTCTTGACGAGTCGCTAGTAAGAATCTCCTGTTTTAAACTTACAAAATAGGTGAAATAGAGTAACAGATATTGGAATCTGCATGTAACAGTTCTCTAAATTGTTTTAGAGTCTGCTAAATGTCCTAAAGTGGCTTGACTTGAGCCACAACAAGATCCAAGATTGTGTTGAGTTTTTGAAGGTAAGTTGCTCTTGACAAGTACTAGACAGAATTATTTTTCACATTTCTCGCTGAATTTCATCATGAATTTGAAGGGAAATCTGTGGATGTGTGTGAAAAAAGTATATGTAATATCATATTAAATGGAGTTCTACACGCTTGTTGGTAACTGAACGTATGATCAAATTAGCCAAAATAGTAAACAATCACGCAAGGGTGGTAGATGGACAGTCTTTAAAAAGGGCTATATTGGGCAAAATAGCAATAGTGTGAATTTATTTGTACTTTATTTGTGCTTTCTGTCTACATCAGTGAAGGGATACCATTTCACACCCAATACAAATTCTCATGCATTAAGTCACAATTAGTGGGCTGGACCCTGTTGCACGGTTCAGGGGGCCCCCTAGATTTACGGTATGCTCAATGATAGGACCGAGTTAATTTATTCATACCTTTTCTGTCTCCATCAAGCCTCTTACTGAACTGGAGCATCTGAATTTAGCCTATAATAACCTCCAGAGAGCACCAGTGCTGGGCCTCAGTGCCCAAGCCAAACTCACAACCTTGATCCTTAGAAACAATGAACTGGAAACTATCGATGGTAAGTTTTCCATTTTCCATGATTGTATTCCAGTGCTCATCACTGGGAAGTACATTGAAAAATGCCACCTTTTAACCCAGGGCTGTCCAAACTCGGTCCTAGAGGGCCGGTGTCCTGCAGAGTTTAGCTCCAACTTGCCTCCACACCTGCCTGGAAATTTCTATAGCTGTGTCTCATTTAGAAGGCTGCGTCCTCCGGAGGTCGGATTCGAAGGCTGCATACGTCATCGAGGCTGTCTCATTTCAGAAAAGCAAGTAGGACACTCCGAATGCGACCTTCGAATGCGACCTTCTTTCACAGGAATTCGGAGGATGCATGAGGTGTATCCTTCGCTGCTACAGATAACCCACAATTCTTTGCGTCGCCGTGAACAACCGTTGTTAATTTGAAAAATGTCGGCGCCGGCAGATGTAACGTACACACAAGCGCAGATGTGGTGTTTACAGCTTACCTTAAATCGCCTCGGTCAAAACGGATAAACTTTGTTTTTAATATCCTCCTCCTTTTTTTCTCTAATAGATGCCTGCTGTATGTATGCTGCAGCTCCTCAAACATTGAACAAAATAAAACAAGTAAAACCATTTTTTTTTAATTACTTTCCAAATTTAGAAATTATTTTCCTTCATTTAAGTAGTGTGAGAGCGCAACGATGCTCTAAATGTGGTGGCATAGCAACGTGATACTTCCGGTTTCCTTTTCCGCCCATCCTACGAAGGCCGTCTCGTTTAATTCTAGGTTGAGGACACTTCGTATATGCATCCTACAGAGGATGCGACCTCCGGAGGGTGCAGCCTTCTAAATGAGACTCAGCTTATGCCTAGTAAGAGCTTGATTAGCTGGTTCAGGTGTGTTTAATTAGGGTTGGAGATAAACTCTGCAGGACACGGCCCTCCAAGACCGAGTTTGGACAGCCCTGTTTTAACCCATTACTATCCACTTTGGTTCTTTTACAGAACATTTCTTCAATATTGATGTTCTTTGTTTTTGTTTGTAATCTTAGTCAACATGATTTGACAACATAATCTTTATTATATATTATTTAAAATTGTTAACATTCTTTTCAATGCATATTTTGAACACATTTTGGTATTTATGATCTACAATTTGTCAGAGCTCATGAACTGTCATTAATTTGAATAAACAGTTAGTTTATTAAAAATAAAGGTTAATCTAATCTAAATGTATTATCCTAAATGCAGGAGTGGAGCAGTTATCATCACTTCAGTCTCTTGACCTGGCTTATAACCTTCTTATGGAGCATTCTCAGTTGGCACCTTTGTCCCTCCTTCATAATCTTAATACAGTAAGAAGTAATGCTGAGCTTAAACTGCTTTTTTCAGTTATCGAAAAGTGATTATTCTCAGTCCCAGATTTGAGTCTCAGCATTTTTATGATGCCACAGTTACAAATTTGGGCTTGATGAGGATCATTATGACACATTTGAAAACCATGTTTTCTAGCTCAGCCAACTGGATCTTGCAATCGCAATATGAATATTTTCCTCTGAAGAATGTGATTTTGTCAAGATGTGAAGATGTCATTTTCTTTTGACTTCTCCTATATACCACCTTGACTGTTTTCTGATCTCTTTTCAGTTAACTTTGGAAGGAAACCCTTTGTATTTTCAGAAGACACACAGGGTATCGACTATCCACCACCTCTCTCCACAAGCTGTTTTCCAAGGGGTGAGTCTTTCTCTGTTTGTGAACAGCTATAAACAGTGCACATCCTCAAAGTCATTATTTTAATTGGTCCTCAGTATGATCAGGTTATATGTCTCAGTCTCTGAATTGCTACAATGAATTTTTAAATGAGCAACTACAGTATATCTAAATATACATCGATTGTATTCATATTTATCATAGCTACCACAGGGAGGTGCCAGTTCCCCCTTTTTTTATGTCATTTGTAAAAGTAATAGTGAGATGTTTGCTTGTAGATCTTTCTTGCTGTTCTGCAGATGTTTTAGAGTTGTAAGCTGACGTTTTAATGTCTGCTTGCATTTCAGCTCCAGCTGGATGGCACCCCTCTGTCCCAATCTGATCAGCTGGTGGGTATCAAATGTTACTTCCTGTGCCATCCTCCTTCCATTCCACCTTCCTTATTTTTCATGTGATTCATGCTGTACTGTGAGAGGCAAATCTGCTTTTAAATTACAGCAGAATAGTGGGCAACAAAGGGCTTTACTTCCTCTGACCAAATGGAGTCTTTAAACTTCAAATGGCGCCAGGCATGGCCCAGCAATCACAATGACATTTAGTGTTTAATGAATGTTTAATCACATGACAACTGATGTAAAAAATTAAGAAAGAAAAAAGATTAAATGAATCCCGTTTAACAATGAATCACAAATGTTTAGATTAGATTAGATTCAACTTTATTGTCACTGTGCAGAGTACAAGTACAGAGCCAATTAAATGCAGTTAGCATCTAACCAGAAGTGCAAATAACAGAGTATATAAATAAATATAGATTGTGTACATTAAGCTTTATGACATATAGTGCAAGTTATGAGGTAGGAGAGCAGAGACCAGCTCAATGCAAATGACTGTACATACAACATAGGGTGCAAGGAAAGTATAAACAGAAGGTGCATTATACAGTGAGGTACGTAATACACATTTATGCCTGTTGGTTTAATGAATAATGTGATTTTAAAATAATAATAATAAATAAATAGAATATATTTCAGTGGAGTTTTTTAATCTTCCACTGATATGAAAGCATTTTTAAGGTATTTTATTATAGTAACACTCAAACAGCTTATTCAGAAACCAAGGAATGCATACAGGTGTGAAAGAAGTAGGCACCAAGTTTTGCTGTCAAAAAACAAAACACATTTATGCCTGTTGGTCAAAGTTACTATATAATATATTAATGTTGCATTCAGTGAGTTCCAGCTGCACATTTTCTGTACTTTTCCCCACATTTACATCGAAAAGGATTTAGAACAGCTTCATGTCCATCAATGGCAACAAAGTCTTGAAAACAGTGGTACAATTCTGCAATCAAGGACGGTAGAATTGTTACAAATTGCTTATTTTTTTCCAGGATTGTTGGCATTAGCAAAATTCAAGATCCTTTTTGTTAAAATGAAGCCGTTTACATGAAATTCATGTGTTCAATGGCAAAAGACACAGCTTCAAAAAGGTCCTTACTGATTGTTGTGTTTCAGACCGAGAAGCTCTTCTGAAATGCAAAACAATTACCCTCAACACCTTGCAAAAAAGTTTGGTGTCTATGGCATCAGCACTCTCGTGACATGTGACTTAGCAATGACTGTGCGACTGTGTTTCTTAACATACTCAAGCTTTTTTTTGTTGTTGCTTTTTTCCCTCTTTCATCCCCATTGCTTTTTCTCCAACACTTTCTTAACACTCATACAGGACAAAGATGACATTCACTTAGGTCAATGATGCTTTACTGACTGCATGTGATAGTGACACCCAGTGTTCATACAGTATAATTAATTAAATAAAAAAAAATATATATTTCACAATAACGGGCTAAATAATTTTTTTGTTTTTTCAAATGTCTTGCATACCTGCACAAAAAACATAAATGTTGTAACAAATATTGTAAATAATGTTAAAAAAAAAAACTAGTAAAAAAAACAACAACTTTTAATGTCAAAAAATATTTAGCCATGTTGGAAAACATATCTGTTAGCACAATTACAATACGTTTTTATTACAAATAACTTTTGGCTTCATTAGTGATCACAGTCCTCCCTGGCCACACCACCTTAATTACAAGGTGACCCAGAAAATTAACTTTTTCCTGGCTACATGCAGAACCCCCAAGATCTTTTTATGACATGCAACCCCCCCCCCCCCCCCCCCCCCCCAAGAGGTAACTTTATTTGGACACATGGTGGAAAGATGTTAATTAACTCATTCCATTTTCACACAGTAGTGTGAGTTTTGTACTGGCCAAACTCAACCTTTATCCTAAGAAAAATTTGTTTTACTATATGAGAAATATCATTTATAATATATATTTAATATATATTTATAAATATATCTATATTTTCGAGATTTAATTTAATGTAAATATTTATTGGTAGAAAATAAAATTATACAAATAAGTTTTGTGGCTTTTGTGACATGAAATAATTTTAGTTATTTATTTATTTTTTTTCACAGATCTTACCTAAGCCCGGGCAGCTGGTTGGTCAGCCCTCCCACACTTCTCAACAAGTTTATATGGCACCTGACCAAGGAGGGCAGGAAGTGTCCAGTGGAGGCGGGGACATGACTGACAGTGTGACTGTAAGCATATCAGGAGTGACCCAAGTTCCAAAGAGGAAACACAGAGTAAGTACATGTTTAATATCTGCCCAAAATATTTTTGTGGTACACCGTTAAACTAAATGAACATGATTGTTGATGGAGTGATGTGAAGCCACCATAAAAATGTTAGTAAGATCTGAGGCATGACATGAAGTGCAAATTCTTGCCATTAGCAGAACAAGGTGAAGGTCAGGAGAGCCAGTATCTCAGAACCCAGTGACACAGACCATGAGGTCAGAGTGCAGTCTGCATTACAAGGTGATGAACACATGACTTAAGTGATGAACAAGCCTTAAAAGGGATAGTTCACCCAAAAAATGAAAATTCTGTCACAAAATTCTCAGTGTTTGTTTTGTTTTGAATGAATGTAAATGGTAACCAAAATTGTTTGGTTTAGGGATGTCCTGATCAGGTTTTTTGTGCCCCCGATCCGAGTCATTGAATATTGAGTATTTGCTTATACCAAGTCCCAATCCGATACTTGTATATTCCTATAGGAATGTATGTTTGTTGCACACTTCAAGTACATTAAAGTTATTAAAGTCAATCCAATGATAACATAATTGTGCAGAGAGTAATAGTAATATATGTAAGATGAAGTATTGAGTACATGTGCAGTAAATGAACATACGTTCCAGAAGGCCAACAATTCACTAAAAATACTTCTTCTTATGAAGTATTCTAATGTGTTGAGATAGTGAATTGGTGGGTTTTTGTTACATGTGAGCCAAAATCATCACAATTAAAAGAACCAAAGACTTCAACTACTTCAGTCTGTGTGCATTGAATTTATTTAATACACGAGTTTCACAATTTGAGTTGAATTACTGAAATAAATGAACTTTTCCACGGCATTCTAATTTATTGAGATGCACCTGTATATTACAAGATACTGTCTCTCTCTCTCTCTCTCTCTCTATATATATATATATATATATATATATGCACACACTGTATACAGACAATTGACAGATGTACTGTAAACATGGTACAATGGTAGACATTGTAAATATACTTTGTGGTCACTATTATGAATATGGGACACCTTGATAGAAACCTATTGTATTTTATGTGTATAATAAGCAGAATAATTGCAACATAAAGTGAAGATAAGGTTAGAAAGCATGAAGCTCACACTGTCAGAATGAAAGTCTGTCAGTCAAGTCCGAATCAAGACAACCCATAGCAACGCATTTTAACAACAACGCCTCAGACGGCAGATAAAAGTAAACGATAAATTAACTGAACACCATAAACTGAACACAGAAGCTAAAACATGTATTACGTGCTACAACAGACCTAACTTTTTCCTCATGCGTCGTCTTTTCCTTTTAATGGCGTTTGACAAACCCACTTAAAGGCGCATACCTACTGCGCAACACCGTGACATGCATGACAGCTGACGTAAAATAAGGATTGGACTGAGGAGAGCTGATACCGATCAGTTAAAAAAATGGCTCGGCTCAGGACATCCCTAGTTTGGTTACCAACATTTTTCTAAAATTCTACTTTTGTGTTCAGTAGAAGAAAGTCCTGCAGGTTTGGAATTACATGATGGTGAATAAATGATTTTGCAAATATTCATTTTTGGGTGAACGATCGCTTTTATCTTCACAGAGCATTTTAAAGTTCACTCTTTTCAATGATCACGTTTACAAGTAAAATTAATTGACAAGCTTGTGTATTTATTAAGCAGATGTACTACGCATCTCATGTGAAATATTTGATTCTCTTCAGATATTGTCCTACCCCATAAGGATGACATTGAGAGAATGGACAGTTTTCGAGAGCAGTTAGGGGAGGACTGGCTACGCTACCAGCATCATCTTGATGATACTCCAGTCAACCCAGCTTTCCCAGTAGTGGACAGTGTAACCAATAAAGTGAACACCAAGTGCCACTATACACCTCCATCCCCCCTGCTTAAAACGAACACACCTCCAACCAGTCTGGAGTTGCTCCCTCCTCCGCTGCTGTCCTCTGAACTGAAAGAGGAAGAGGACAAAGAAGAGATGGAGAGCACAGACCTGCAGCCTGAGACAGAGTCCACCTTGCAGTATACAGGCCACAGCCCCCCAAACACTGAATCTACTCTTGAGATGAGTCTAGGAAACACTCAGTCCACAACTGAGGCCTACTCTGACCCAAAACCACCAGTAGAAGATGACGACGATAGGGGAGGTCTGTGTATTTTTTTTTTTCTAGGGATACATTGATACTGATAACTATACGTTACATACTGATATTTAAACTGTGATAGTACCATCCACTATCAGTTTTCACTAATGTATTCCAGCTATTTTCATGGTAGTGTAGCTTTTACATTATATCATTGGATACATTTATTTATTTTTAATGAATACTACTGTTTGAACATTTTGGCTTGTTATCTTTTAGGCTCACCAAGGCTGCATTTATTTGATCAAAATACAATAAAACCGTAATATTGTAAACTATAATTTCAGTTTGAAATAATTCTATTTTAATATATTTTTAAATATAATTTATTCCTTTAGCAAAGCAAAATTTTCAGCAGCCATTACTACAGTCTTGAGTGCCACGTGATCCTTCAGCAATTATTCTAATATGCTGATGTGGTGCTTAAGTAACATTGCTTTTTATTATCAATGTTGAAAACGGTTGTGCTGCTTAATAGTTTTGTGGAAACTGAATTTTTTCAGCATTCTTTGAAAAATAGAAGTTTAAAAGAACGGCATTTATTTGATATCTTTTGTAACGTTTAATACACCCTTGCTGAATAAAAGTTTTTATTAGAAGAAAAAAATCTTATCCAAAACTTTTGAACAGTAGTGTATTCAAGCATATTGTCCTCTTAAGTAACTTGTAGTTGGCTACTTTTGTTTATTTTCAGTAGCTTGACTGTTGTTTAACTACTTCAAATTTGCAAGCTACACTTTTAAAGTAGCTTCTTCAACTCCGATTACCATACACAGTAACACCAGCAGTGGGACAAAACTGTTGTGGACCAAATGTTTGGATCTACTTTGTTTCTGTAAATATTGGTTTATGTATTTATAATGACAAAAAGATTGGTTCTGGTACTCACCCAAAAGTCTTGATACATCTCCATTTCGTCATTGTCCAATAACCTGTGCAGTTTGTGTCCAGAACTCTTTTTCATTATTGTACTTTTTTTAACAGTGGACCTGTGCAGACCAATGCTGGTGGGGCTGCTTTTAGAGGATGTGGAGAGAGATCAGAAAAGGCCCTCTGAACCGCTTTTCCTACGAGTGCGGCAGGGTCGCCTGCTGGAGGTAGACATGCACCAGGGGTGTGTTAAAAAACTAGTGGAACTAGACAGTTTGCAAGATGTCATGACCACTGAGGCCACCTGCACGGTGGAGGTCAGATGACATATTTTCTCTTCATAAGGATCTATAAGATGATAGAGCATCTTTGTCTTAGTTTCACACTCTCTCTTTACATCTTATAGAACGTGGAGATGACTCACCCGGCCCTGGAGCTCCACTTCCGGTACATTAGTCGTGAAAGACGTAAACGTTCTTACATAATGTTGGATGACAAGCCACAGGAAGCATTACAGGTCATAAAGATCATTCATCATTCGAGAATCAAGCATAATCAACCAGTGCTTGAGATATAATCCTAAAATTACAACCGATATTACAAGTATGGATGTACCGATCCACCAATCTTTAGTATAAATTCAATTTCTGATATCAAAAATGAGCATTTTATCTAGTGAAAACTGAATTGTTGATATTAAAAATTAATATCCTACAAAGTCAAATCTGCTTGCAAAAGTATGACATAATTGAATAATTCTGAAAATTAAATTGCAGATATCAATAATAGTTTCTGCTATTTGGAATAACATTTTTGATCTCAAGAATTTTAATTTCTGCTGTTTATGGCATTGTTGATATATCAAGAATTTGTGTTTTTAATAGTAAAAATGTTCCTGAAATCAAGAATGCCATAGATGACAGAAGGATTTGCCATCAAGTGCAACATTTGTAATCTAATGACATAAGGGAAAAACTGTAGTTTCTATTTTGTGGCAAAATTACTAATTATTAGGGGTGTAACGGTACACAAATATGACAGTTCGGTACGTACCTCGGTTTTAACGTCACGGTTCGGTATGATTTCGGTACAGCAGGGGGAAAAACTAAACTTTAAAACATTTTTTTTTTATGGTTTACTAAACAAGTTGCTCTTTCTTTAAATACATTCAGTTATAGTTAAAATTTTCTTAGTGATAATCTTATCAGTTTATGCTTAAAACTATAGGGAGACCTTTTACATTATAAGGTTACAATTAGGCATAACAACTTAACCCAAACTTAAATTTAATTGCTATTTATTTTTAAATAGATGATCAACACTCAACTTAAAAAAAAAAAAAAATTGTATGCAAACATGTAAATTGCACATAATGCAGTTTTTAAATTAACTTATAAATAATACAATTTCTAAGTTATTTGTTAAAATATATTAAATTACACAATGGCTGTCATAGCATGTTTCATAACAGATTAATTTAAACATACTGTACATTAAGTAATTAAGACTAACAGGTTTAGTAAAATATAATGAGTATATGGTGTAATATTTCGCAAAATGCTCCTCTCTAGACTTAATTTCTCTAGTGAACTAACGAGCTGTGTTTTATTTCCAAGCTGTATTGTTGATGTCTTTCCGCAGTTGAAACACTGATTGAGCAATTACATGAGGCATGAGATGTTCAGTCATGTTTATTCGCGTTAAAACTAGTAGTACAGAGGAAGGAATGATCGAGTTCACTCGCACTCCGCTCTGCACAAATCTGCAGGGCGTCACGGCTCAGACACGGGAACCGGAGCTGATCGCGGCCGCTCTAGTCAGTGCTTGTGTTGGGATTATACCAGCTCGTTTCTGAACCGTCCCAGAACACCGGCTCTCTAAGGCATTTATACAGCGATTTGTCGTGCCACCTAAAAGACGGTCAAACGCCATTTATTATTTGAATTTCCTGAGAAGAAGAAGAAGAAGAAGAAGAAAAAAAAAACTGTATTCATGCGGTACACATGCATACCGAACCGAAAGACCCGTACCGAAATGGTTCGGTACGAATACGTGTACTGTTACACCCCTACTAATTATTCATTAAAATGGCCAATTATGCATTTTGTTGATTTTGCATTGTGCTCCACAATCGCATAACAACTGGTGGGACTCTGTAAGTCTATGGCAGCCCATAGAACCGCTTGCAGGAAAGTTATGAAATTTGGCACACAGATGGAGGACAGTCTCAATATTAACCATAGCAAATTTCGAGTCTCTATCTCAAACTATGTAGTGCCACCATAGGCCAAACTTGCACTCATATTTCTGCTAATAATTTTTTGAACTGTAAAAATTCTGTATTCCTCTGATTCCTTGGCTCAGGTCAAGTCGAATACATACCGATTTGTCGTGCCACCTAAAAGACGGTCAAACGCCATTTATTATTTGAATTTCCTGAGAAGAAGAAGAAGAAGAAGAAGAAAAAAAAAACTGTATTCATGCGGTACACATGCATACCGAACCGAAAGACCCGTACCGAAATGGTTCGGTACGAATACGTGTACTGTTACACCCCTACTAATTATTCATTAAAATGGCCAATTATGCATTTTGTTGATTTTGCATTGTGCTCCACAATCGCATAACAACTGGTGGGACTCTCTGTAAGTCTATGGCAGCCCATAGAACCGCTTGCAGGAAAGCTATGAAATTTGGCACACAGATGGAGGACAGTCTCAATATTAACCATAGCAAATTTCGAGTCTCTATCTCAAACTATGTAGTGCCACCATAGGCCAAACTTGCACTCATATTTCTGCTAATAATTTTTTGAACTGTAAAAATTCTGTATTCCTCTGATTCCTTGGCTCAGGTCAAGTCGAATACATACCAAAATTAAAATTTCTTCGAGTCAGGATTTTCAAAATTTAAAATTTTGAGAAAAACCTACTTTTCCAAACTCGTCCTAGACGGTTTGTTAAATTTTCACCAAAATGGCTCAGATTACATTCAGACAATGCTGACAAAAAGTTATAAAAAGATTTCTGATAGACCAAACCAATCTTGTAACAAGCGTAACAAATTTGACGAAATTCTTGCAAAAATGGACATGAGGCTATATCTTCGCAATGCTTTACCTATTCTGACCAAACTTGGTACGTGTTATACCAAGCATGACCTCAGGGCACATGAGTAGTTTCAGCACAGCGTCACCTACTGGTCAAAAGATATAAACAAATTTACTTTTTTGTTTATAATTTCTGGACAGTTTGACAAAAAAAATTATAAGATTGATCACGTTAGATTCAGAGCGGCATACCGAATCAAATGCTACCCAATTTTCCTATGTCAGCCATTAGAGATTGACCGATTGATCGATTGATTAATCTGCACCGATAGTTGATTGCCGGAACTATCGACTATCGGCAAAAATCCATTCCACATGGTGTGTGATACCTGTGTGTTGTCCTAGATATGACCCGGTGCTGCGCTTTTGCTAGTGTGACTAACATATTTTGTTATTTTGATTAGATAATCAAGTGTTCTAAACAGAAGCAATTGACCTATCAGTAAGCCCCGCCTCCCTTAGTTACTGGTGCTCCCTTGGACAAACAAACGGAGCTGCTCACGCTCTTACAATGACAGCTGTCAGTGTGAAAACCTTGAAATCCCACGATGTTTTTGAAAAAACTTTGGACACAGAAGGGCCACCATTCAAGTGTGAATTAAATATTCCATGGAGGGATATATACAATATTTTAAAATAAATATGGTGAGTAACTCGAAGCGTGTTTACAGATCACAATGCAAGCGGGAGAAGTCTTGTATTACGGTCATCACGATCGTGAATGACAACATGCAGGATCAACACTGTTCATGTATCGCAGGGTACGATTAAATTAATCCACATTTAAACAGTTTAATATGGAGAGGCATTGAAATGTAGGCCTTCATTTATGTGTTTTTGACCTACGCTGTACATGACGTGAGAACAGTCCGCTATTTAGGTTTTTACGTTAGAATGGACGCACTAACTTTACTGTTAGTTTTAGCCAGAGATACCTTGCTGAAACGCAAGATGACATTAACGTTCTGCCTGAGCAGATGAAAATTGTAACTTAATGAGTGACAACCAGAAAATGAACGTTTTTTGTCTTGATTGGGATTGAATGCTTACGGACATTTTGCTCTGTTTTGTTTGGGTTTAGGAAATGTAATAAAATAAATTCTATTGCCTATCCTCTCAGGATACCTGGAATCAGTGTTACAAGTACCCAAGGCACATCGTTTTTAAATTTTTGTAGCATAACCACCATCAAACTGATGCGAGCTTAGGATCGTCCAATGTTTTTTTATGGCACTGAAACCTACATATATCGGAGTTCCGCTCCCCGTGCAACTGATACTTGACTGCCATTGGCTCATCTGCGTTCGAGGGGAGGGGCTTACCGATCGGTCAATTAAAGTGTGAGAGTATACATACAGTATTCATATGTATGTAATTTTAATGCAATGGCCTTTGTGTAGATATTTAAATATGGTCATTAAGCATGAGTGTTGAAATTAAATGAAATAACTAAGATTGATAAAAGCTGTAGAAGTGTTCCTTGTTGGAGTGTGTTTATTTCAACATTTACTAATACATTTTTTAATTTTAAAGTTGCTTATGTTAACATTAACTAATGCACTATGAACTAATTTTAATGATCAATATATATAATTAATATTAATATTTTTTATTCATTTAAATTACAAAGTATGGTTCAGTACTTTTTAGCACTATGTTAGTTTTCGTTCAGTATCCATTTTATCAACATCGGTTGATTAATTGGTATCGGCCAGTGTAGTTCTACCTAGCTAGCTGTCAGTATCGGTAAAATCGGTCAACCTCTATCAGCCATTTTAAGCGTAGACCATTTCGAGTTTTGTTCTGTAGTAAAATGCTGTATTTTACAAACGCTGTAGCATATTGTTATGTATCTTATGAATCTTACAGAACTGCTTGTGGGAAAGCTATGAAATTTGCCACACAGATGGAGGACAGTCTCATCATTAGCCACATCAAATTTGGAGTCTCTAACTCAAACTCTGTACCGCTACCATCAGGCCAAATTTGCACTCATGTTTTTGCTAATAACTTTTGAACCATAAGGTCTAAAAGCAAAAAAAAATTTCCTCCTGGGAAAAAAATTTTTTCCTCTGGAAAAATTTGTTTTTTTCGAACTTGTTCTACACAGTTTGTCAAATTTTCACCAAAACTGGCTCAGGGCCCATATTCACAAAACATCTTGTCAGTATCCATTTTATCAACATCGGTTGATTAATTGGTATCGGCCAGTGTAGTTCTACCTAGCTAGCTGTCAGTATCGGTAAAATCGGTCAACCTCTATCAGCCATTTTAAGCGTAGACCATTTCGAGTTTTGTTCTGTAGTAAAATGCTGTATTTTACAAACGCTGTAGCATATTGTTATGTATCTTATGAATCTTACAGAACTGCTTGTGGGAAAGCTATGAAATTTGCTCTGGAAAAATTTGTTTTTTTCGAACTTGTTCTACACAGTTTGTCAAATTTTCACCAAAACTGGCTCAGGGCCCATATTCACAAAACATCTTGAGGCTAAAAGTAGCTCATAACTGGCCGATTTAGGAGAGAATCTTAAAAATAATGGGCGCGTCAGTCCTAAATTTAGGACTCCAAAATTTTAGTTCTAAGAGTATTTCACAAAGCATTTTAGCGCTAAAACTAGATCCTAAGTCTGTGAAACCTTAGGAGTAGTGAAGAGGACTCCTAAGCCACTAAGACTAAATCTGAACTATCCTAAAATGGCTGTTGCCAGCAATCTACCTCGGAATATAAACATTTTAGAAACATTTGATGATAATGAGCTTTTAAAAAGGTATCGGCTTTGATTTGGAGGTTATCCAACTCTAAATCTTTTATTATATCCTTAATATATAGCTGTTCTCTCGTCCAGTTTGGTTTTCTTTTATGTTTGCATGTCTTACTATCAGCCATGATTATTCTACTCTGCTAATTAAAAGGCTGTTTATATGCATATTACCAACATTTTATTAGTCGCTTAAGTCGCAGAAAAAAAAAATTGTTCTCTTAAACCGAAAACAGAAAGCACTAGTGTAACAATAAATTATTGAAACGTTAATGCAGTGTACTTGCTGTTTTTCCCTAACACATTCATAAATATTACATTTGCAGGTGCGCTGTGGCAAGCCTTTTTTGTGTGTGCTTGAGCGCTTATTAGGCTATGTAGGCAATTAAAGGCTCATTATTATGATTTATATGGTTTATTAATAAAAGTGCGACTAATAGTCGACTAATGCTTAAAATGTACGACTACTAGTCGACCAGAAAAATCTTTAGTCGAGGGCATCCCTAATGCATATTGACTAATTGTTTACGAGAAGCATATATATAAGAGGCTGACAATTAGCTGAATATATAGCTTACTTGTTTAATTAGTGACACTTAGCCTGCATTTTAAAATCTTTATTTGAATGTGGCAATTCACATTTTTATTTTAAAACTTTTATTTGAAAATGGCAACATAATATTGCGCTCTACAATATTTCTATGAATAAATCTCTGACAGAGACTATCAGCCAATCACTGTGTGCATAGTAAGTATGCTGACATCCATAGCAACAAGGTCAACCCCGCCCTTACTCTTAGCTTAAGACTTCTGTCTATTCCTTATGCGTTAACGAATTTGACAAAGTATGTGCAAAAATGGACATGAGGCTATATCTTCGCAACGCTTTAGCACAGGGGTCTCCAAACTCCATCCTGGAGGGCCGGTGTCCTACAGAGTTTAGCACCAGCCCTCCAGGACCGAGTTTGTAGGCCCTGCTTTAGCGGATTCTGACCAAACCTGGCTTGCATTATAACAAGCATAACCTGAGGGAACATGAGTAATTTCGGCACATTACATCGGGCCTTTTTGGACATCAGCCATTTTGAGTTTTGTAGTAAAATGCTGAATCAACAAATGTCTTTAACACGGGTCTCCAACCCTGCTCCTGGAGAGCTACCATACTGCAGAGTTCAGCTTCAACCCTAATCAAACACACGTGAACCAGCTAATCAATGTGTTCAGGGCTACTTAATTACAGACATGTGTTGAAGCAGCATTGGAACTTAAGTCTGCATGAAGGTAGCTCTCCAGGAGCAGTGTTGGAGAACCCTGGGGCCATATTCACAAAACATCTTAAGGCTAAAAGTAGTAAAAATAGGCGTGTCAGTCCTAAATTTTTGCTCTAAGAGTATTTCACAAAGCATTTTATCATTAAAACTAGCTCCTAAATCTGTGAAAAGTAGACAAGAGGACTCCTAAGTCACTAAAGCCAAATCACAAACAATCAGCAATGGTTGTTGCTGGCAATCTGCCTCAACAGTCCTCCCAAAGACACTGTACACCATTGAGGCAACAGGCGACAGCCTTTTCTTCATAAATGCAATAAATGTTTTGATTTATATGTTTGAATCTGCGATGATATAACAAAGTTTCATTTATGTACAGGCAAAATGTATTAAATGGAGAATAAAACATTGCGGTCAAGTTGAAAATGGTTATAATACATAATTTGTCACTTAAATTATGCAGTCTCTTGAGAGGCAGACATGTAAGAGGCTGACAATTAGCTGAACATGTACTTATTTAATTAGTGACACTTAGCCTGCATTTTAAAATCTTAATTTGAATGTGGCAACATTTTTATTTTTAAACCTTTATTTGAATATGGCAACATAATATTGTGCTCTGCAATATTTCTATGAATAAATCTCTTACAGAGACTCCACCCCTATCAGCCAATCACTGTGTGCATAGTTAGTAACCATTTTGACATCATCCATAGCAACAAGGTCAACCCCACCCTTATTCTTCGCTTAAGACATCTCTTTATTCCTTAGTAAAGTTTGTCTCAGCAGCTTTGTGAATAGGTTTTAAGAGTAAACTCTTTGCTAACATTTTTTACTGCTATTTAGGAAAACTCTTAGTGGTAGATAACATGTTTTGTGAATACGGGCCCTGGTCTTTATACTGAGTAATTAAGGACAGCTCCTTAGCTCTTCATTTTACCTCTGTTGTGCTTGACCCTTTAATTGCTGCTTACAGCTATATTTTTAAATCTCTTTTGACGCATTCCCACACAATTTGTTGACTCTTTGATGGAACTTTAAAATTTAGAGCAACATGATGTTACCTAATTGAGTTCAGAATTCTGACTCCTCAGGTATTAGTGGAGGTTCTCTCAAGAGTCGTGGAGGAAAACAAGCAGCAGTTGGATGAGGAGAGACCAGAGACAGTTTGGCTACAGTGCCTAAAGTGTCAGACTGAATTTTGCCAGCCACCAACTGAATTCGACAGCAGCTTGAGCCACCTGGATGAGCTAAGGAATGACCGTAAGCATATGGCCCTAACAGTCATAAAGATAATTATTTTTCTGTCATGAGCAAAGCCCTGGAAGCATAGGCGGACATATACTCCTGCCAGAACATTCCAGGGAGTGGTACAAACACATGCAACTCTCAACACACTTCTCATTAGTATTACAGCAATTACAATCATTCTCTCTAGCATGACTAGCTTGTGGTTGCCTCCACCTCATTGCAATTAAACACAATATTCTAATGTCCCATAATAGTTGCGATTACACGAGTTGATTGATACTGGTTATTAGCATGGCGCCAGTTTTTTGGTCCTGATCTTTTTTTTTTACATCTCAGCTTTCAACACAAGATAAAGTTAATCAGAAAAGATGAATCATGCTTACCATGAGTGGGTGATCATCTTGTTGGAACATGAGAAAACCTGGATTAAATGTGCTACCAAATAATTTCATGAATACAGAATGGTTGCCAAGCACTGGGTGTGAGAGCTTTTTATCTTGGGACTCCATCAGGCAGCCAATAATTTTATCATATGACCTATTTTCAGCATAACCAATTTAATAGTTTTATTTATTTTTTTCTCCACTGTTACATCCTGCAAGCCATTTTCTTTTTAATGACTGGTTTAATACACAGTTCATCCTCCTCCTCTGCAGTGGTGCATAGTTTTAAAATGTGCTTTGACATGCAAACCGGAGGTTCTGGGACATTTGTTCAGCTGCTTTCAGTCTGTTTGCTTGGTGTCCTGCGGATCATCTAGGCCAAACACATAGTTGGTTCTGCATGGGGCAGAGATCAGTAAAGGTGTTTATTTTAAGAGCATTAATGTCCTTAAAATAAATCTGAAGCAAAGAGTATGTTGAACACTCTGTCCTGTAGTGAGTGTTACCTTGAATGGCATAGGTGCATCTCTTTGAGTTTCTTTTTTGCTGCCATTTGAACACTTGAACTGTATTAGATGGTCTTGGATGTGATCATGTAGTTCAGTTGGCTGCCCAATCAGCTCCTTCCACCAGTACACCATTTGAACAGAATAATGCCAGATACTTTACCTTTGATGACAGGGACAACATGGTTCAACCCAAGCTCAATGAGGTCTGGGTTTATGCTCTTTTTGACTTGATATTTCCATGACAGTATAATGTTAATGTTCTCTTTTCACTCACTTAATTTGCTTAATTCCCCTAGGCGTTGGTCCCAGGACAGTCTTTGCTATCCCGTGGCAGCCCACTCCATTCGCCTCAGCATTCAGAGGTCTCCACAGAGGGAGCCACAGCTTACTTCCACACAGCCCATAACTTCCTGTCTAATTGTTTGACTAACCATAATGAGACATGGGTTGATCAGAGAACATCTCAACTAATCAACTTCAGCACAACTGATGGACAGGTCCCGGGTAACTCAGAGGAGATTAAGGAGAAGGTGGCTGAAAATTCCTGCAACAACAGCTATCAAAAACATCTGGACCAACAGTCACCAAAGTACACCGAAGGCTCCAACAATGGTAAATGGTCCACTCTTGGGATGAAGATAAGTGGAGTGGTTAGAAAGGGTAACAGTAATGAGAATTTGTTTAAAGAAGAAAAAACTACCCTGAAAAGGATTAATTCAGACTGTGATTGGAAATGGCAAGAAAATCTGTAGTTATTGGGCCCAGGTCTATTTTAGGATTGCCAGTTAAATAGTGTAGCTTTGAAACTCATTGACCAAGCTGAGTGCTTTGTAAACATGAATTTATAGAAGTAATAGTTTTCTTTTTCCTCTTGTATTTGCCACACATTAAATTCTTAACAGAGAATGAATCCTAATGTTTGGCATAGTACCTTGTACTTTTTTAGTCCATTGAGGGATGTAAACATAAACATTATTTTCATTTCAGCTCAGTTTGACCTGCTGTCAGAGACAGTGGACCATCGGCTTCAACTGTTCCTGGATGTGGAAGTGTTTGGGGGAGAAGAGGAGTTTCGCTGCTTTTTAAAGGCAAGATAACATGTATACAATGCCCTCAATAAAACCAAACACATAGAGACACATTTAAACTCCCTCCACACCAGCCTTTTACTCTCTCACATTTTAGAAGCAGTTTCCCTTTAAGTTTAAATTCCAATTATAATTAAAGTGTTTGAAGTAATTTCTAACTGCTTCATTCTGCGTGTTTGAGAAGCTGGAATTAGTTATTATCATTTTCTTGGTTTATCTTGATTTCAGATGTCCATTGTGAAGTTTGGGGATGCAGTGCAGTTCCATTCTCTTATGGTTGTGTCGGACCAGTACATCTACATCTTAGAAATCACCTCACAGTCTGAGTAAGCAACTTAACATTTTCATTTTGGGGTGGAGTAATCCTTTAACTGAAGAAATTCGTCATTAATCACTTACCCCCATGTTGTTCCAAACCCGTAAAAGCTTAGCTCGTCTTCGGAACACAATTTAAGATATTTTGGATGAAAACCGGGAGGCTTGTGACTGTCCCATTGACTGCCTAGTAAATTACACTGTCAAGGTCCAGAAAAGTATGAAAGACATCGTCAGAATAGTCCGTCTGCCATCAGTGGTTCAACCGTAACGTTATGAAGAGACGAGAATACTTTTTGTACGTGAAGAAAACTAAAATAACGACTTTATTCAACAATTTGTCTCCTCTGTGTCTCTCTGCATCACCGTAGCGCCATTTTGGAGAATATCCACTGAACGCAAACTGAGTATGCTATTCTGTGTCAGCCGTGACGCAAGGATACATTTTCTACATGTATTTACGCTTTGATTTGAACAAAAACGGTGCATCCGTGCAGCATCTACTATGCCTGCCGGCCTCAGCATATTCAAGAAAGAGCCAACACAGAGTAGTCGTGAAACAAAGCAAAATCAATGTAACTCACCTATCAAGAAGAAACAAACCAACCTCTGCGTCCGATTCCAGGCCTTCCCGCTCTTTGAGTTCTCTCCACCGCTGGAAAGCTGCTCCAATATTTATGTGGGTCCTACCTCTTGCCTGTAACCCTATCGTAACCCTTCTTTTTAATGTTTTGTTCCTCCAAAATGTTCCTCTTTTTTTATCTGACATCTCTCGCTATCTATAGTCGATCTGCTAATATCCGTCCTGTGCACTCACTGAGCACTCTCTTCTCCCTATCATTACTAGACATGCCTCTTACTGCTGATTGGCAGCAAGTGTGTTTTGGGACTCAGTCTGACACTGTGGTCAAAAGCATTTTTCAAATATTGCTTAGTGCACATTTAAATGCAGGCTTTGAAAGAGCAGCTTTCAGCTGGGAATGGGTAGTCCAGAAAAAAAGAAACACTGAAACTTTCAGCAATATTGTGGGTTTTATGTGTCAGCAGGGTAAATGTCATGGTCCATTATCTCTAGTTTTTAAATTAAATCTAAAAAAAAAAGTCTAAATATTTAATGCATTATTTTAGGGATGTAACGATTCACTCAATTCACGATACAATTCGATTCACGATTTTGATTTCACAATTTGATTCGATTCACGATTGTTTTTTAACAAAATGAGATTTAAGACAAATTATAAACAGTTTTTAATCTAAATTAGATTGTATAATTTCGAAATTTGAAACAAAAACAGAATGGTTTGACTTCAGTTTTGTGAAACTATACATAAAAAATATCTGCATGAAAGCTGAGCTGAATGAGCCGCAGATTGACTCTCTGCCATCAGGTGGCGCTTAAAGCGTTTCATTGGTTTCTGCTGTAAACAAAGGAGCTCTGCACTTATGAACTTTAATATGTGTTATACAGAGGCAAGAGGAAACGAAAATAATACCATCTAAACTTTTCTAAAGACAGTAAGTTCCCCTCAGACATGGATTCTTATAAACTCCTACACCTAAATGAATCGCGATTGGTTTAGCATCTCAACCAATTTGAATCGTCACCTATTTAAATCGATTTCCAACCGGCTCACAGTTAATCGTTACATCCCTACATTATTTAATTATTATACCATTAAAAATTAACTTAATTTGTTGTTAACTATTTAAGTATTTAATTACACTTAACAAAATTATAAACGCAACACTTTTGTTTTCGCCCCGATTTTTCATGA